AGGTTGGTAATGAACGATAATACTTAGGGCACAAACAACACATAAAATTCACCAGCGGCGAGTAGAAGTAGTCAACTGCGAGAAATAAGTCAAGTGAATTCCACAATGAATCTCCAACTGCGGGATATCTACTGACCGCCCTACCCGGACAGATGTGGCACAAGGCCGAATTTAATATAGGGTATCCGAGCCCGTAGGTTAAGCCAAAAATTCCCCGTAGACACCGTATAAAACGGGGTCGGGTAACTGTTTCCCCGAGACGATACTCTGCCTTTCGACACAGCCTCGTCTGGGGATCCTCTCAGCCCGGAGGCAGAGAGTTTGACCAGCACAGCTAGGGACGAATCTGCGACAACGAACTAACATACAGTATTTACTACTGTATCTATGTGAATAGGGACATATCAGTATGGATATATATATATATATATATATATATATATATATATATATATATCAGTATGGATATATATATATATATATATATATATATATATATATATATATATATATAATTTTAAAAGCAGTAATGTAATTCGACCTTGCTTCCTATGTAGCTAAATGGTATAGCACATCATACTATATAACGGTTCCCTGTCGGAGGACACGCATTTTCTATGAAATTTCTCGGACATTCAAGCCGGTAAATGTTGTTAATACTGTTTATTATAAAAACAGCGTTTACTTGAAGATTTGTACCAATAAAAATAACGTATATACAGAAAATATATTAAAATAATTGTTGGACTTAGTCCATTTCCTGATTTATGACGTCATTTGTTTACGTTAAGTTACGCTTCGATCAGATATGAGCGTTCGAGAGAAATCATGGGAAATTTGTAGTTTAAGATGGCTTTTCTTCTCAGTGTGGACAGGAGCATTACCTGGTTGAAAAATTATATCTGATAATTTATTTTCAAAAGATAACTACGTACACAATGTATCATAAAATAGAAAACTCCATTAGTTGGGAATTCCTAATATTAAATATAATAGAGATATAGATGAGAATTCGGAATGACACTGATGACCAAAGAGTCTCTAAAATCCAAGAATAGACCCGTGTGCATTTATGAAAATATTGACCCCCCCCCAAAAAAAAAAAAAAACCCTGATAAACTTTCAAGTGGAAAAGGTTTACTTCTGACGTGTTTCATGCGTCAGGACTTTCTCAGAAAATTTAGTCCAGAAGGACAAAACGCGTCACAGGAAAATAGTTCCACATTGTCATACATTTTCCCTAATATTGTTCTTAATTATATATAGATAATTTTTTTTCTAATAAAAGTTTACCTGGTGTAATGGACTTTTTAGAAATTCCAATTATGAACTTGCTCGTTATAGTCGCTTAAATTATGTTTATCAATGAAATTATTTTAAACCATTAAAAATTAATTATGCTCATGAAATCTATTTTAAAAACCATTAAAACAAATTATTCATACCAATACTGAGAAAGCAGTACAATTACACTATATTTACACTAAAGGTTGAAGTCATCGGAGGAGCAAATAAATGCGTGTTTTCTGAGCAGACATAACTATTGTCAGAAAAATTATTATATTCAGTTGCAATCTAGTTGAGCCCGAATATGCCTACTGAATTACCGACGTGTACCAAATTGAAGTAAAACCGATCATTTCATATCGATACGACCTGAATGCATGTCACCATAACTAGTTTATTTTTTAAACCAATATATCCTCTCATCAACTCGAGGACAATGACTGCTTTCTCATCACTATTTACAAAAAGTAATCGATCTTGCTGTTCATTTGTTTATTTTCATGAATGATATTATACTGGAACACACCTATTCTATAGTTAATAGACTCTCCCACCTATAATAAGTAGGAGTAGTAGCAGTCGCTGAGTCAGTCGATGTCGGACGACCGTTAGACGGATAGTAAAAGTATCAGCGACCACAACTAGATTACTGCGTCATTACCTATTATATCAAGTTCCTAACGTTTTGTACGTCGAACCTATTTTAGGACCGACTTAGAAAAATACAAGCCTCCACTGTGAAATTACTGTACAACAGATATCGAGAGACATTTTCAACATGTAAGATAGATGTAACTTTCAGAAGTTAATATTTGCTTAAAAAGTTTTATGATTTATCTTGAAAATTAATGCCAGTTATGAATTCAGAAAAATGGTACACTACAGCTCGACAGTATTGTTGTAAACTGAAGCCAAGCAGACAAATATATCCTGTTGATTGTTTTAGCAAAAATGTGAGGGTGCTGAACCACTCAACCCTTCTTACAGCGCCGTGAATGGGTAAAAAGATATGACAAGCTCACGAGGCGTCTTATAATCAAACCGTTCCAAGAAAACATGATGACAGAGAGGAATTAGTTTTCTCTATTTAGATTCAAGGGATATTGATAGTACAATTTATTTTCGAATATTAACATGATGTAAATATATTACTTGAAGGACACGAAACCTTTCTAGTAATGAATAATCCTGGTTCATAAATATCAAGGACGACATACCAGTGTTTATGATCAGGATAAGTTGCAATAACGCAATGCTTTAATATTTCTCTTCTGCAGACACAGAGATTTCCATTGAGGCACGTTATGATTTCCTGCCTACTATATTTGACCAATATCTGGAGCTGAGGGTTCATCAAAAGAAAACAAAACTTTCCCGATAAATGAACTTTGATATTTGATTAGACTTTCACCTTTCATCTCATAACCGTTACTTTAATTAACTCTCCTTTAAATGGAGTCATAAACAGTCACACGGATGCGATAGCGCACTTACATATTTGCAGACGTACACGCATGGTAGCTTAAAATCTATCTATACACGTTACTAACAGTCATTCTTTTGTATTAACAAGTGCTTACATTATTTACATCATTCAGACTGTTATCCTCACCTTCATTGCAATATTCACAACGTTTCGGTCGTTGTACGCTCCGGCCTTCTTCAAGCGGTTGGAATTTATAACCTAGCCGTTTATTTCGTGCACCGGGGGTAGATTGTTCTAGTTCCACATGCCATGGCTCTTCCGGATAGCTCAGTTATTTTCCTTTAATTCAACTATCCAAGTTTCTTGGTTCACCACTGCTGTAGCCTGGTATTGAACGCACAAATCTTTGGGTTTAGATCTAAGCAACGCCTTTATCCACTGGGCCATGTGTCCTTGAGGAAACGTGGTGAATATGGCAATGAAAATGGGGATAACAGTCCGAATAATGTACATAATCATAACACCTCATATCAGAGATAGACACAGATAAGTGGTTATTCAATTAGAATATTCTTTAACCGCCTTTTCCCTCGAATAAGAAATAATTGCCGTAATTTGGATATAGTACAAGCCATTTTTATTAAAGTTCTTTTGTACGAAGATAAAGTTTTGTATTAATGGCTAGTTTGCTTGTAATGTCATAAAGTAGAAGTACAATCCAAATGCTAAGTTTCTATATATTTATATTCGAGATAAAGTAACCTGGCAGTTAAAAATACTTTTAGCTATAGTGACAATTTATTTGTCAAGCTTAAAATTACAAAACCGTTACTTCCACTAAGTCAAAAGAATTGTCTACTGTAGAGAAAAGAGAAAATCAGAAGATTAGTATATAGGAACATAAATGTAAGTGAGTCAACAGGCTAAGTTCTTTATTATTAAGTACGAATTCTGATATCTTTTCTCGAGAACGGATCATACAGCCACGATCATGTCCCTTCACCGGACACTATCCCGTGTTTCCGTCTCGTCTTCATTATCTTCCAGCAGCCAGGTAGTTTATGGATACGCCTCAAGGCATATTTTGATATTATATCTTTGGAAAACCTCAGCATATTATTAATATTGACAGCCAACATCGTGATAACTCGTCGTAGCTATCATATAGCTAACGAGTTATCTCGTCCCGATTACGGGTTATCTCATGCTTCACGTTTTCTGATGTGTTTTTATCTGCAGAGAAACATTTAGTGTGAAAACTGTCATGACTTCACTTGTAGTTATAAATCAACACATGTTGGCTATTATAAAATTGCCATTTTAAGTCAAGTTTTGAAACTGACTTCTGATTGTTAATGTGTTAATTTACGTTGATATAAAGGGATGTATTACGACTCTCTCTTCCCCTTCCGTGTTTTTCATTAAAAAATCATGAGAGGCGAGTAAATAGTGCAAATATTTTGTAGACAGTTTTTCTTAAGATCCACAAATACAATTCGTCGTGGAGCATGGCGTGTCATTATCGTGCTTGAAACTTCGAAGCCAGCACCATATCTTGCAATATAAATGTAACAAAAAGCAAAACAAACACAGCAGATATCAACGACCAACCTATGTATGCATAGTTGAGACGTATGGTTACGATATACCAACCACAAAAAAGTAGATTTATAGATATGAGTTTGAGAAAAAGAAACGCTGGTGACAAATTGCTTTTGAAATATATCGACGATTTCCTTTCTTTTAATCGACAGAAAATATATGTAACACACTGTAAGAAAAATGTCGATGTAATTATTTAAAAAAGTAATAGGATAATTGAAGTTGACAGCCAAATCACATATTTATGGCTATTTGTATTTTTATGGAATGATTGGCCATTCGAATTGGTAAGCTTGACATTATAAGCGTAGAAGACTCCGCAAATGTATTTTTCATGTTATAGATATCGGTTATCAAATATATATAGAGATTATATAAATATTACATTTCATTAATTTCTCTTTTTCACTTATAGTAAAATGGCAGTTATTGTCCTGATGGCAGAAGGCAAGTATTTATCACTGTTTATGAGGAATATTAGCAGAACACGGGTGAACCAAGTCATACCGTAGCACCTAACCAAAAAGATTTATTGCGTTTGGATTTATCCGATTCGACTCAAGAAGATGGTTAAATTTAATAAAGAATTTCTATACTTTTCAGTAAAACAAGTTTAAAGTAACAGTTATGTCTAATTACACTAGAGACAGAAAGACACATGTGTGTGTGTGTGTGTGTTAACTACTGACGGCCACATCACGTTGAAACATTGGTACCTGTAGGATTACCGAAGTTAAGCAACGTTAAACCTGGTCAGTACCTAGGTGGATGACCATCTGGGAATCCTAGGTGCTGTAATCGCGGATGGTGTAATGGATGATAGTTGGGAATTGTAACTTGGAGAGCCGGTTTCTAATTTCAGTTGGGTTCATTTATATTCACTTACACGCAAATACTCTTGGGAAAGGTATGAATCCACTTATTGTGTCTCCAGATATGGGTTAATTAGTAAAAATTGTATCACTAAACCATTATGATCGAACGCAGCAAAAAGCTTTTACAATCGCAAAGTATTTTCTGGTTTTCAATAACCTGCAAAAGGCTGACAAACCGTAAAAAACGAATCAATAAAACAATGTCTGTTTTAGAGAATATCTACAGTTTTCAATAAAGTATGTTTAAATAACAACTGATGTTTAAATATACTAAACACACACACACACACATATATATATGATTTTCTATTACAATCAGTTTTGATTGATATTTTTTGCCATTATTCTAACTCATTTCAAATAGCTGTGTTCGTTGTTATAACATGCACGAAGGTGTAATTACTTTATCACTGTTATACAGGAATAAAGTGTCTCTGCCGACTCTGGAGTTTGAACACAGATCATCAGAGAGCAGACACAGGCGATCCCATTTTGAATAATTAGATCACGTGATGGTAAAGGAAATGTATATATGAGAATTAGCGTGGCGTCTAAGTGATCACTATACGGTGGTTACTTATCGAGCATTATCGAGCAAGTACCAATAGTGCGAGTGTTATTCGAAGGCATCTGATACCAGTATTGCTTCAACGGCGTTACTATAGTTGTATCTGTAATTACAAAGTCTCTACTACAACGGGCATTACGAAAGTGACAACGAATATTCGTTGACATTACAAACATCACTCATACTTTTCGTGCGAAACTCTTAAATTATGGTGGGTTATTTTCAATGCGAATGTTTTTAGGGTCTCTTACGTAAGCTCAAAATTGGATGATTTTGTCAAATAAGTTTCCGTATAGATAAATCGTACACTTTATTTCAAACTATTGTTCTCGCCTCGACCTTTAAAGATATTATTAGACATAACCTTTCGACTAAATGCAATCTGGACATCATCAGGTGCCTATAGAAATTGCCTGATATAGGATATATGTTGATTATTGTGTTATTTTGTCCTTGTGATGTTAGTTATTGTTCATTTCTGCAGAAGCGGTGATACCATTCTAGGGATAGAAAAAACGAACACGATATAACAATATCACCTGTTCAAACAACTTCTATATGCATTACACACTAAAGCCTTGACGGACATAAACGGTGTGTTTTAAGAAACTTTTATATTTAGATTTAAGTTTTCAACAATTAGTTTTCAGATCTTTTTTGTACCCGCTTTCGATAATTCTGTATTTTTTAATACCAGGCGAATATTCTTAATTTTTTAAAAACTAAACGCACGAAAGACGGTGCTGAAAATTAAAAGCCCAACCACGACGGTATTTCAAAGTATCTGATGTTTAGTCATTTGGCCAGATTTGGGCAATTTTCTCTATTTTCGAATTTTTAAAAAATAATAAGAAAAAAATGATATGAACATACTGTTTATTTGTTTGAATCTGTGACTGGGCTTTTTTATTTTCTCATATTTTATATGGATTGTTTCCCTTTTTTTCTTCCTACGACTTTTTGGTCCAAATGAATAAAATACTCCGAATAATATATGGTATAATAAAGTTTTCTCTCTTTTGACAACCATATCACAACCATTAAAAAGGGCTTTGCTAAGCATAGTTTCGTATGTTTGCAGTATAATTTTTTTTTTTAATGATTTAGGCAAAAAATATGTTTTATACTTTCTTCTGTTTTAAAGAAGAACAGAAGATATATAATTTTGAATAAATCAGCTGAAACACGCAAGCAAAAAAATAAAAAGTGAAAACTAATTTGTAAACAAGCGGATGATTTTGTTTCAAGCTTTTACTCATTATATTTTTGTTGTCTAAGATATTTTGGTCGATGCATCCCAAATCAAATTATGTATCTTCATTTCAAATTAAATTCTAAACCGCTTGAGAAAACTTTAGACAAAAAGTTCTTTGCAGAAATCTTATAATCAGATCATCTAAGTCTAAAAATATATTGAAGAAAGTTTCATTTTTTTTTCTTTATTGTAATGGAAAGTTTTCAACAAATGAGGAGTGAGAAGACGATTACAACAAAAAAAAAAAAAAAAAAAAAAGAGAAAAAAATCTATAATTAATGAAACAAAAGGAAAATATAAAATTATCTTTTTCTCAAGAAGCCTTGTATCGACATTGAAACAGAGAGACAAGGACGAGCGAACAGTGGAATGCTTCAATTTTCTTTATGACAATGAGGATATTTTTTTTTATACAATTACACTCCACAAAAAAGATTTCTCTAGCATTAAATGAACGAAACATCAAAGTAAATATTGCAAAATTTATTTATATGCATTAATTTAATAATAGTCAGTCCATATATTTTAGCAAATAAATATCTTCGTCCTTTTAACACAACCTTACTAATTCTTCGTCCTTCATTAAGGATATATTGTATCTAGGGGTTAGGGGAAAATGCTACGTCTCAGTACAGTGAACCTTCCATAAAAGAGGTCACCTAACATGCCTTTTCTTGAAAATAAATGATAATTTCTGTCTGAATTTCTTTCACATAGTAATTCTGAGTTCGATTCTTGGGACGGGTAGTAAAATCTTACACGTAGTGGAAACACAACGAACAATAACTGAATAGTATTAAAATAAGAAGAAGACGAGATATGGGCAGTGAAAAGATAACAAGCTACCATCGTAGGCTAAATAAATGATTCAGTTCCAAAACTTCCTGAAGGTCATCCGGATTGACAGATACCTAAAGAAGACCGGAGAGCACATCGGCTGAAACAAAGATTAAGACATTAGGCCGACTGTAAATAATATAAATATAAACGTTATTCTTTCAATTGTGTTTGATCTTTCGCTAAAATTAGCATGAAATCCTAAAAATCTCTTCTTGAGGAAGAGATTTTTTTGAATCGAGTGACCCCATATAAGGTAGTAAAGCCTCTGAGACACAAGAGGTTACTGGGTGTGGAAGAGTTAGAAACAGAAACATTGCTAAGGAGTAAGAACAAAAGAAGAAGAATCAAGAGGGTAGACAGCGTTTGACCTTGCATTTACATTTTTGCAGATTAAAGTTGGATGAAAAGCATGGAACCGGAAGGGAATTCCACAAGAGAAGTGCGAGAAAAGAAACTGTTAGCATAGAATTTACGGCTACATTCAGCCAGCAGTTAATTGATGAGACCTCGTCGCAAGTCTTGTACTGCGCTTGAATTCAAGGAGTCTATTGACTATAGCGAAGAGATCATTCGAACAATTACCATGAAAGCATTTACAGAAAAGGCATCGGGAGACAACCTTACGGCGGTGGGAAAGAGACCAAAACCGAGGCACCAGAACAGGGCAAAAAAAAAAAAACAAAAAAACAAAAAAAAACAACACTGTTTCCTTTTATTTGAAAGCCACCTATTGTTATGTAGGGAGTGGTACAGTTATTGGCGCAGAAAGTGGAATTGGTGAGTAGAGTTCAAAGTCAGTTCATTGTCACAAAAACACCTTAGAGAAAAGTATGAATCTACACATTTTCCTTTCCCCCAACAGCTATAGGTTAAATAACAACGTCAAACCGGGCTCTTTCACGTTTGGGTGTCAGCCACTCTAAAAGAAGGAACGGCCTGAATGCGAAACTGTGGAGAGGGAAACGGGAAGCCTATCCATTATCTATTCAAAGACAAGGAAATTTACAGATAATAAAGGAATGGAATGTGTGGAGAGCCATGATCTCATACGCCCTCAAAGAAAATGCCAATTATAATGCCAATTATAATGCAATTTCCAGTTTCAAAGCAATTTATGACGACAGAGTCGTGTTCTAGTCGATAGCTGTTATATCAACTCATATGCAATTCATCTTTAAAAGACGACAAAGTTTGTTCATTGCTTTTAACAGAAATTGATAAACCACGCAATCTTAGTGAATGTTGTCTTACGTCTTTTTTTCCAAGTCCATGTTACAAGACTGGATTTGATGAGCCGAAGTAGAAATTCGTTTCATGTGCTTCATCACATAATTGCCACATAGTACGATTCAACTTTAAAAAAATGGAAGAAAACACCAAAACTTCCTCTTCTGTCCATGTTTTAATGGCTAAACGGCGTAAGAAATTTGGATTTGCATCTTTACACACTTCAACGACATAAAAGTTAATCGTGAATTATTGATAACCTTGTTCATGCAAAATAGCATAACAAATCCAGATGTACAAATCAACAAGTCTCGAAAAGTGTACCCGGTGACTTCTCAAGGTCATCAGGTGCAAGAAGTTTTAAAGTTAAATTTTATGTGAAACCTGAAGTGTTTTTTATAGTAAGGTTTATCCGGGGTCCACTCGATGTGGATGTTGCGTTAAGTGGTAGCTGATATGGATAGACTTGAGCATGTAAATATTGTAGTGATCGGGAGAAACATTCTCTTGGGAGTCTGTTCTACAGGGCAGTGTTTCGCGGAAACTTATTTCTAGCTGATGGAATACGGAGGGAATGTGGGTGGTTTGCTGTTCTTTAAGTGGCATGATGGATCCTAGCCGTGAAGGTCAGACTAGGCGACGCCAAGCAACACGGTTCGTTCGAGTACTTTTCAGGGTAGTAGCAATATTTCGTCTGTGAGAGATGCGTATTTCCTCTCCAACAATGACTCGGAGACGCTTTTGAACTCTATCAAGACTGGAGAGTGTGGACTGGGGAGCTTCTACCCAAATATGGAGAAAGTACTCCGATTTCGGTCTGATCTGGTGCTTGTAAGGCTAGTGGATAGCATGAGGAGTCAGGTACTTACTGGAGCGGTACAGGAAGCCGATCATTTTACCTGAATCTTTAGCGATGGATCATATATATATATATATATATATATATATATATATAGGAGTTTCATCTGAAGCTGAGCATGAGGCCCACTATTCTCTCACGGCACATCCCCGAGGAGACATCTGTTCATCGTGAC